GAAAGGTCGTTCAGGTGTGTATTTTAATCGACCAACAGTTTGGAACCCGAAGATACTCAGTTTACTGTCACGTAAGACAAAGAAAAGCAAAATATCTTCACAATTTAGAAGCTGGAACGGGATGATGTTTGGCAGTTTTGGCTAAAAATCAAAAGTTACCATTAGAATAGCGTCTAGAATAGCGAATTCATCAGGCATTCACTGCACAATCTACAGTCACACGCCTCAAAGCTGATATCTTATTGTCTGACACAGATTGGAAGATTTTATTAGACCCATCTCACTCAGTGTTCCATGCAGAATGACTGTTATCTCAGTGTGTAGGAGCATTTTAGATATCAGCACAAATTAACACAAAAAACTTGGCCTGCTTTGATGAAATCTCTGATCATCCTCGAGTTTTGTCTGATTGGTGTGGGTCGGGACGAGACGAGCACTCGAACAGATGGCTGGGCAGATAAATGCCTCCAACACACTTCATACTCGGGGTAAAACTAATTTGGTGAATCAAGACAAAAAATTAGACAAGGAAACGAATCAGAATGTATCATTACCCAACTCATTAGAACACTGACTGTCGTTCCAATCAATTAAGCCTTTAATATAAATGTAAATGTAATCGGCTCCATGTAATTAACTGCGGGTGGATTGCCTCGACAGAGAGGCATGGCTTTAGGCTTTAATTCATGGTGATTACGTGAAGTGTTTGTTTCCGAAGTCACAGGCGTCATTTTGGAGCTAAATAAGCTAGCTGGTTGTTTAGCCGCCGGAAGCAACCTGTCTCAGCCTGTCCGCCCCTGATGGGGAATTTGTCTCAGCGTTGCAGTCTGGTGAGTGGATATTAATGTACCTGCCTGGCTCCCCTCTGGCTGTTTCCTCAACATGTGGCACCTCGGTTCAGCTCAGAAAGACAAATTATGAGAGAAATAAATGGTTAGAAACCTTAGGGTGGGAATGACAAAGGAGAACGCTCGGCAAGAAGGAGGAGAGATAATAGTATAAAAGGAAAACAGGGATGAAAGAGAAGGGAACGGGGAGCTAATGAGCTCCTCATCCTCCTGAGATGTGTTTGCCTGTGAGGATATTGGTTTCTTCCTGTTGTGTCTACTTTGAAGACCTGTAAAGCTAAACAACCCAACCGCAAAAACTGGGATTCCCCTTTTAGCCTCTCTGCTTTTTCGCTGTTACGTCATTTGGGGGCTCTGAGTACAAAAATTCGATTGGACCTTTGGGATGCTGATCAATAAATCTCTACTGCAGGTGCTGATTTAAGCCTTGAGTGGGAGAAGCCCGGTGAATACACCACCAGACACCAGCGTTTGCTTTGGCTTGTTTTTAGTCTCACTGTTAAAAAGCTCTTAACAGAACATGGCACACTAAAACTTAACGTATCATGCAAAATAAAAACAACTTAAGTGGGTAATTCAAGATTTATCAAGGTAATCACAACAGTGTACGTCTTTATCACTGGATTTTACAGTTGTGGGGTTTTTCTTGTTTTGTTTTGCTTTCTGATGAGGCTGTTACACTTAAATTATTAGTACACGACTTTGTTCAATATTCAAGTCAAGTCAACTTTATTTATATTGCACTTTAAACACAAAGTAAATCCAAAGTGCTCTTACAGTACACACAGAACAAAGAAACAGAAGCAAAAGGAAAGCGAGAAAGTAAAAAGTTTGAAGTGATAATAGCAGTAAAATAATAAGATAGCAATGATAACACATCATTTCTGTTATAATCGCACCTATAATAATAATGACAGTCACACTTTGCTCAATTAAAGACTGTAGAGTAAAAGTGTGTTTAAGAATTCTAGAGTTTTGGGGCAGCAATAAAGAAAGCCCTGTCCCTGTAACCCTTAGTCCTGGATCTGGGGACAGACAGAAGTCTTTGATCAGATGAACTTAGTTCTCTCCCAGTGTGATGTGGGGAGAAGAGCTCTACAATGCACAATGGGGCGAGACCGTTTAGCCCTATTCGGATAGGATTGGTTTAACGTGGAGACGTGGGGTAAAGTAATTATTACCAGGGATTTTAGTCCCGTCCGAAAGCGCCATGTCTGTTATCATTACGGATAATGTCAGTAAAAATTACAGCGCCTTTTACCTTCTGTAAAATGGTCCAGAGAAAATACTAATCCCGTGCAAACGCGATCCTCTGTAAAAATGTATGTAAATATTTCATCACGTCCTGTTTACAACTAGTTTTCCGTTTTTTTTTTTGATGATGGAGGTGCTTGAAGAAGCATTCGGTGTTGTCATCAGTCGTGATAGTTGATATTCTTCTAATGATCGCATAGCCCTACGTGGGAGACCAATCAAAAAGGTTGAGAAGAAAGCACTTTTCAGAGCCACGAGACTTCTGGTTGTGTTAGGTAGGCCTAATATAAATCCATACTCTTTATCGTTGTGTACACACAATCCTGATCATGGGCAATATTTCATATTGGGCTAATCATTAATTATTACTAGTCAATACCCACTGGTAGCTTTGTCACCTTCTACCTATGCCAATCCTTAATGCCTATGTGCAGTTTCACATAGATTGACCACGTCAGTGAGAAGAAAAACGTGGGACAGACAGAATGACTGACTGACAGAATGACACACTGACAGTTTCTGTGATTATGTACAGCATACCATACCATGACTTAGTCATACCAAAAATTAGAAGAAAAAACTCAACACTGGTCCACAGGGGGAGCCACAGCGATCGGTTGCATTTTAGCCATTTTTAAGCATTTTTCTGTTGTTATAGCGCCACCCAATTGCAAATTAGAGTTAAATTTCTCCAGTCACCTTGAGGCGTCCTGTTCTACATATCTACCAAGTTTAGTAAAAATCCATATGGCGGTTAGGCCTAGATAAGAAATGAGCTCTCTAGCGCCCCCATTCTGTTTGATGGGGTCAATAATGGAGGGGTCCCCTCAGATTATGTGTGGTCATATGCCTACAAAGTTGCGTGGTGATGGGTGAAACCCTTGAGATGTTATACACCTTTATGTGATGAGCCACGCCCTCCGCAATATTCATTGCCTTATAGAAGCTCAGTTTTAGTAAGTTTTCCAACTTTTGCCAAGAGGGAACTTTAGATATTGGTCCCTAGATTATGTTCACCCAGTTTCATGCAGATCGCTCAAACTTCGTAGGAAGAGATTGATTTGAAGTGTTTTTCAAAAAATTCAAAATGGCGGAAAATCTATACAAGCGGAAGTTATGGGTTCTTGAGGCAAATGTGTTCCTCAAGAGGAGAGGCATCTCTGTGCAAAGTTTCATGTCTCTACGACATACGGGGCATGAGATATGCCCATTCAAAGTTTGCAATTTGAATCAGTTGCTATAGCGCCCCCCTTTGGCCAATTGATGTAATATTGCTTCATTCACATCCTCCCATGACCCTCTACCACTGTGCCAAATTTCACATGGATTGACCAAGTCAGTGAGGAGAAAAACGTGGAACAGTCACACAGACAGAGTTTTCGTCATTATATAGTAAGATTATCCTTCAGCTGAACGTAACACATACAGGAAGCAACATAGCACACACATGCCGACAGGGAGGTGACGCCAGGGCGCAAACTGAGTTACCACTCCCATCTCTGGTAGAATTACGGAAATTTTTCTTTTTGACCTTGTTAAAACTCTTGCTGCTGCATTTTGGACGAGTTGAAGACGGGATAAGCAAGACTGAAAAATACCAAAATATAACGAATTGCAATAGTCGAGGCAGGAGGATATGAAGACGTGGATGACTTTCTCCAGGTCAGAAATACAGAGAATTGATCTAAGTCTAGAGATTATGAGCAACTGCATGAAACTTAATTTTACTGCTTGATTGATTTGTTCGTCAAACCTCAGAATCAAGTATGACCTCAAGATTTTTAGCACGAGATTCAACAGAGGGGACCAAAGGGCCAAGATGAGGAGACATGATTCTGGTCAAGTGCCGTAGTCCAAATAAAATAGTTTGCAGCCATCCAGGATTTGATGTCGTAAAGACAGTTATTAAGGTCAGTTAGTTTGCTGATGTTGGTTGGCTCTAAAGGGAGGCACATCTGTGTATCATCCATTACTATAGACTCAGTTCTGATCACAGACTCTGGAGGGAGCAATAAAATCCCTTTTACATCAATATCTTGCGATTTCTAGAAGCCGCGTAGGCGGGATGATGTACAGGGTAATTTGCATCAGGGTTTATTTCACAATAATGACTCACTGTACATTATCCCTTACGTATACCATTGGTTTTGTCCATTAACAGTTCCAGTAAAGTTTATTCAAACAAGACGACCACATCTTTTACAAATCAGAGAGGCAGCATCGCTTTGTGCAGTTTTATTAGGAACATAAAGTAAGAAAAAAAGAAATATGGAGCTGCAGATGTGTGGAAGATGTAGACTGTGTTTGCTCTGCAGCAAGTTAAGTTTTCTATCACAGCAGTCTTAAGACTATAGTTGACAGAGCACTGAACATCTAAACTCAAGTGAAAGTACAGTTACACCCATAAATAAATAACCTGAGTAAAAGTTAAAACTTTCCATTTTGGAAACTAGAGCTGTACCTGACGAAAAAAACCCTTGGCTGCTGCATGACTACCAACATCCACACAAAAATAGCACGAGCAGTACCTTTTATTTATCAAGGTTTTTTATCTCCTACTGACACAGGAGATCTGGTAAATACTCCAGATTCCTCAGGTCTCCTCTCTTTACTTCCAGCGGAAGTCAAACAGGATGAGTTGTAGCCTGGTGCAGTAACCCCAGTGAATTCACGTCCTGTGGGGTGCGCCAACTCATATTCCCTGATATGCCTGATCATCTGTGTCTCTCCATGCGATGTATTTGTGTTTATCCACAGTACAGATGGTTATGTGTTGCGTCTCTCAGCACACATTTGTACCTTTTCACATGTTTGTGTTTCTCTGTAGGCTCTATGTACATGTTTATCTGTGTTTAATTGTGTGTCCTCTCTGTCTCTCTCTCTCTCGCACTGTCCCAGGTGACGGGAGTGAGCGTGTCCCCTGGGAAGGACCAGCTGGTTGTGTTCCACACCAAGGACAGCAGGGATCTCGTGGTGTGCCTGCAGGGCATGGTGCCTGCCAATGAGAGCCGCATCGGGGAGCTGGTTGGCACCCTACTTAGCCACTTCAAGAGGTAAGCGATGGGGGAAACAAGTGGTTGTAGAAGCTGAATTACTCATTTGCCTACAGGTGGCTTCATATTTTCAACTGTTGAAAAAGTGTCCTAAAGTTACGGAAGCCCTGAGAGGCATGGTGAAATTCTTTTTTTTTTTTTTTTTTTTTGCATACATCGTTGGCCAATACCTAGGTTTATCTCTTTTACGCACAAGAACAAAAGTTGGTTTCCGTTGGTATCAGTGGCCTACTATGGACAGCAGCACTATCCGTTTCTCTTAAAGGGATACTTGGTAGTTGTGGTAAACTTCCCTCTATCTAACCAGTGCCTAGATATCCCTCCTCCCCCCATGGCAAAACTCAACCAGATGAAATCTTTACATCATTTAGTGGAGCTTTGCTGGCTTTTGGGGCCGTACTTCCGCTGCTCGCCACCCATGTTGGCGCCGCCGTGGACGCAAAGGGTATAGAAGCAGATCAAGAGACTGACATCGCCAAAATTGGACCAAAATTTGATGGAATATAAATCAAGATATTTTTACTGCACTGCCTATTTATCTAAAATGTTCTTAGAAACCCATTTTAGTGTTATATTTAGCTATAATAGCAAGAGATTGTAAACAGGAAGTGGGCGCCATACTGTTTCCTGTACAGTGAAAACGCTGATCAAACTGTAAAACAAGGCAGCATTGATCGAATATAAACCAAGAGTCTGTTACGGCATTGCCTATTTCTTGCTGCTAGCGTTTTACATGTACCAATGGTACCAATCCACATTAAGTCACCCACCAGCAGGAGCACAGTGCATTCTGGCAGTTGTAGTTTTTATACCTGATGAGCAAAAGTGAATGCCAGAGTGCTTATTCTCTGGTATTTGTGTCTTATATCTATGAAATACTTCTTTAATGGGACACATAGCAGCAAACAGCAGCTCTGCTCTGCTCTCTGCTATGTTCACATTTTAGAGACTGTCATTAATTTTTTTCCACATTAATGATGTATTATTTCAGCCACTGCAACCTACCCACTATTAATCAGAATGTTGTTGCTACTGTGTGACAGCTGCAGTAATGATTGTGTAAACCCGGCCTGTGAGCTGGTATTAATGCATACATTAGGCTAATCAGAGATTTATGGTGGTGTTGTGTTAGTAACATTGGTGAAAAAAAAAACATTAATCAGCATCCCCTGAGTAGACTGTGTTTGTGGACATGTTGGAACCATTGCAAGTGGGCGGTTATGAAATAGAATCCTGCCGGAGCTACTGCACAGTTCCAGTATGTTTTACAGTGGACATTTGTAGTTTGTTAAATGAGAAGGCAAAACATTTTGTTTCTGCTGCATTTGAACTTTTAATCCCCTTTATAGTGTGCATTAAGCACTTTATTCTGCACGGCTTTCTCACTTTCAAAACAGCCTAATTAAGCTTCAGGCTTAATTAGGTAACCTATGCACTCATACAAACATGGTACTGACAAAATTACATGCCAGCTCAACTTAAATTCACAAACACAATTCGTTTTTGCCAGTATTGCCAGAATTTATGAGCCCATATATTTAGGGAAAAGAGAGTCTCCAAACTTTGAACGTTCGTCACAATATCTATCCAACTTTATTGAAGGTTCAATCTGTAACAGTTTTTGTGCTACAGCTGTCTTCCTGGCTGCAAATATATTTTTTATTAGATATTTTGTGTTGTACCAATATTTTAGCTGCAGTATTTCCCACATAAATCGTTAAGATAATACCTTGCACATAAGACATTATACATGTACCTTGAGATAAACTCACCTTTCCTTCCATATAAAATGCTTTAAAAAGGTGAACAGCAGTTTGCTGATGGAAATGACCTCTGTCTGACACTGAGGTGAAGGTAAAGGTCGCCGCATTTCTTCTATTTACTGCACAGAGAAAATCCCTTTCAGTTGATGGTCAGCATATTGTCCCCACATAAACCCCATTTCATTTAGTTTAACCCCCAGCAGTATTACAGACAAAGACGTAGCCTAAAATAACAATCACATTTTGGTAAAGCTGAAATAACCTTCTCAGCTGAATTTCTGTGTCAGATCCAATTGTATTGGCCCAGATGTGTGGCCAATGTGACCTGTGGCAGGAGGATTATGGGGCAGATAGAGTGCACAGCCACAGCTGCCCTCGCTTGAACTCTTATATTCATTTAATCTGAGCTCACAGCGCTCCTCAGGATAGGACCCTGTGAAGGCCAGCATTCATTTTGATTCCAACCACAGGAAAACATACATGCAGATAAAACCCTTGAATTAAATCCCTGAATCCTGCAGTCGCTCTCTCCTGCCTTTTGATTCACTGAGGTTCTTTTCAGGACTGTCTTTTTTGTATATAGCTCTCCAAAACTACAAACTACATATTTAATGTAGATAATCCACTGCAAATCCACCTTTATCACTTTAGGACCCTGAAGAATAGCACAGATAACAACCTATTGAATTTGTCCACATGCAAATTAATACAGGTACTTAAGTATTTTGTTATTCAGAATAGTCGTGTTGATCAGTACAAGGTAAAACCCATGAATAGGATACTGAAATGTGGATTTGAAGTTGTATCTCAGTATCTCATCCTCTAGCTGAATTTGTTTTATTTCAGTTCAGATGAGGTTAGTGGACTGCAGAAAAGCAGCTTGTCTTTTCCACTGAGCATCAGGAGAATCATACGCCCACCCACTTCCGTGAACACCAGACTCGTCCTCACTTCACCCTTTTTTTGTAAGTTTTATGAGCAATAATGATCCTCTAGTTCAAGTAAAAGGTCATTTTGCCTCCATACTGCCGATAGCTGTGGCTGGAGGCATTATGTTCTCGTTTTTTTGTATGCACTTACATATGTATATCTGTCTCTACGATCTCCATCTCATTCTTGTGAACACAATATCTCAAGAATGCCTTAAGAGAATTTGTTACAAAATGGCACAAACATCCGCTTGAACGCAAAGATGAATTGATTGGATTTTGGTGGTCCAAGGTTTAAGGTCAAGGTCACTGTGACCTTGCATCTATCTCATTCTTGTTACAGTGATATCTCAAGAACAGCTTGATTGACTCTCTTCAAATCTGACACAAACATTTACTTGGACTCAACAATGAATTGATAGAACAGGATATCTGAAGAAGGCCTAGAGCGAGTTTCCTCAAATTCAGCACAAACGTTTACTTGGATTCAAGAATGAACTGATTAGAATTAGGTGGTCAAAGGTCAAGATCACTGTGACCTTGCATTCGTCTTATTCTTATGAGCGCAATATCTCAAGAATGCCTTGAGGGAATTTCTCTAAATTTGACACAAATATCCATTTGGACTTAATGATGAACTGATTAGATTTTGGTGGTCAAAGATCAAGGAGACGGTGACCTTCGATGCGTCTCATTCTTGTTAGCGTGATATCTCAAGAACACTTAAGGCAATTTTTTCAAATTTGGCACAAACGTCCACTTGGACTCAGCAATCTACTGATGAGAGTTTTGTGGTCATAGGTCAAAGGTCAAGGTCACTGTGACCTTGCATCTTTCTCATTCTTGTTACTGCAATATCTCAAGAACAGCTTGAGGGACTTTCTTCAAATCTGAGACAAATGTTTACTTGGACTCAACAATGAACTGATTGGATTTTGATGGCCAAACATCGAGGTCACTGTGACCTTGCATATATCTCATTCTTGTGAACGCAATATCTGAAGAAGGCCTAGAGGGAGTTTCCCCAAATTAGGCGCAAGCATCCACTTGGATTCAAGAATGAACTGATTACAATTTGGTGGTCAAAGGTCAAGGTCACAGTGACCTCACCAAATATGTTTTTGGCCATAACTCAAGAATTTACATTTGTAATGACAAAATCCATGTTCCATGTTTTCACAGACTGTAGTATGTACGGTGTAAACTGTAAGAGAAACTTGACTTGAACCATTAGTAAGGAGTTCAAGGAGTTCTAGTTCTGTCATGTATTAACGTAAGATGCTGTCACATGCTTTTAATGTGTTGCATCACAATATTTTGCAAATGTCAACGAGTGTTGTTCCTATGAGTACAAGCAGTATACACACGGTTAAGTGCACATCAGCAGGAGACCTTCCAAAAATGATCTAAAATAGCGGTGTGTGTGAATAAAGTGATTTCATTCATTCCACTTTCATCCTGTGTTTTAATCCCAGGAGAGGATGACTGAGCTAACAGTGGCGTATACACACAAACACACACAGAAACAGGGGAAAAAGAAAACAAAATACTCTTGAAATGTCAGAAAATCCCCACAATATTAAACATCAGGAGACATGTTAAAGCTTTGGGCCTATCTGATGTGCTGTAGAGAACTCTAATTCCTACATTAGTCTTTCAGGGTCATGTTTGTCGACTGAAGCGGCCTGTTTCTATCACACAGATTCTTTCTTATATTGACTGCATAGAGGAAAAACGTCGTGTCCCTGTCCAACCTTTTGTTCCCACTTAAGCCCAGTGCACTTTATCTGAATAATTGATATCGATTTGTCATTAAATCCGGCTGTACTGTTAAAAATAATTAGATGTACCTGTTGTTGGGATTTCCTCACTCCTATTCCATTTACTGGTTTGTTCTTTGGGCCATACACAGTTTCATTTAGACCTTATAAATGAGTGATACTGTCTGGTCTATTGTGAGTGGGAAATGTGTTTGTACCAAGCAGAAACTACCACAGTTGAATACTAAAGCCAGTGCTGAAGTGTCTGAAGCTGCAGTTTCTCTGTAATGACTGCTAGATGCATGAGTACAGTTTGTTGTAAGTAGCTGAGGAAATTTTCGAAATTTGCTACAGCTTCAACACTTGTTCAAAAAAAAGTTTTGATGTGAATAGATTCACCTTCAGCATTGTGAATTTGCGACAACTATCGCAATCCTGTTGACCCAGAGCAGCGTCCAGCAGTCTGTCTGAGGTAAGCTGTTGTATAACCTCAGATACATAAAGCTATTTTATTGAATTTTCTTGAAGCAAACTGCTGTGAACTTGTG